GAGGATAGGAGCAGTGAACTCCAGGGGCAGCGCCATGTCCAGCAACGCTGAGAGGCCAGCAGCCGGCGGGCATGCGTCGGCGGCGGCCGGCGATCTCGACTTCCGAGCAGCCGGCGATCGATACCTCCAATCGGCCGGCGCTCTACGGACCAGAACCAGCTGCCTTCTCCAACACAGCTCGTTAGCCATCATCCTTGTCTTCGGTGGTGGTCGGTTATTCTGTCACGGTCCGGATGTGTGGAGGCAGGCAGGACGACGACAAGAATTCCAATAATGACTTTTAATGTAGACACAACAAGGCAGATTCAGATAGGTGAAACACACACACACACTCGGAGTAACATTCACAATAACCGACACTAATGCTCAGACAGACAGGAACTAATATGGGGTGGATAATTAGTGGCAGACAGGTGAGCACAATGAGGGTAATTAACTAATGATTAGTACGGGCTAAACCAACACAAGGGGAAGAAACCACAATAAACAGTCCACAGGGACAATACCCTCAATGGTATAACTTGTGCCCATTTGTCCAGGACTCCATGAATTAAGGCAAGGGCCTTAATTCACAAAAAAATAAAAATAAATAATAATAATAATAATAATGGCATATTCCAATGATAGATTGGATAACATGAGTATCAGAGCTTTATGGCATGTTATCATTTTAATGATATTAATCATAGTTTAAATAGATCAAGCTATTGTTTGTAGCTTGTGAAGCACGTACTGTAGTCTGCATGCAGTACACCTGAAAGTTTAATTTGAGGTTTCTCTGTGGTTGAGTGTCAGACTGGCCTAGTTTAGATGGCATTAGTGTCAGGAGTGTTCATCAAGCGAGTGTGTGTGCGTGTGTGTTGTCAGTGTTGGAGGCTGAGATCCCCGGGGAGGCAGTGTCATTGCTGCTACAGAAGGATGATGCTGCAGCCGGACAGAAGCACAATGCTAGCGGGCCGCAGGAGTCAGAACGCACACTCACATACCCCTCCCGCCTCATCTACTACCTGAACGAAGCTGCTGAGAGCACCTACCATGACCTGAACACTCGCGCTAAGATTCCTGACCCACATGGACAGGAGAACTCAGCATCTGTTATAGAACACGGTGCTTCAGGTTATATCCATAGAAACCCAATCTAAATACTAGAGGTCGACTGATAGTGGATTTTATCGATACCGATAGCTAGGTTGGACCACACTGGCCGATACCAATAATCTGGTAGTTTTTTAAATGAATACTGAACGAAAACTAAAATAGTGCTTTACTATAAAAAACAGTACTGAACCATACTTTGTACATGAATAAAAATATTAATATTGAATATTAATTATATATTGAGCATTAAAGTTAGTTCATAGTTCATTAACTAATGTTAACAGAAGCAACTTCAAAATTTTAAAATGTATTAGTAGATGTTGAAATTAACACACTTTAACTAGATGACTAATTGCTTCTGTTCTAGAACACATTATGATTATCTAATCAAAATAACGAAATATGGCAGTCACACACGGCACAAAAAGCGCAGCGCTGCGTCACGTCTAGGACAGTGTTTCCCAACCTTTTTTTAGTCACGGCACCCTTTGGAAATTTTAACGAACTTGTGGCACCCTACAAAATTAATTTTGTCACAATATTTGAATTTCTAACTTCGATATGATAATTTGAAAAGTATAGATATTCGGTACAACAGGGAAGAACTGCAGAATATAATGTCATACAGATATTTTTAATATTATAAAAA